CCCCAAAACCCCAAAACCCCAAAACCCCAAAACCCCAAAACCCCAAAACCCCTTTTTATTCGAAATTTATTGAATTAAAATAAGCTTCAAGCATGAGCAACAGCCAAGTCCCTCATTGCTCCCCAATGACTAAGAAACTTTATTCGTTGGAGAATAATGGCACTATCGATGGAATTCTGAGAAGGAAAATCAATATGCCTGTGCTTGATAAATCTTATGCCAAGCAGTTTGAAATGGCTCAAAAGAGCAACTCCCAGACTCCATTTGATACTCCTGATGATCGAGAACTATGCCAGGATAAAGAAGGCAGCAGTAATCGTGAGAAAATCAAGGCTCCTGAAATCACCTTCCAAAGAAAGAAAAAGAAGAATTTATATAAAAATATCAAACTCAAACCATGAAAAGAGTCAGAAGTCAAAATCTTGCCTAAAGCTGCTGCAGCTCCAATCCCTGCTATATATAAAGTAGAGGATATATCAAGCAAGCATTTTCGATTTAATAAGCCTTTATTTACAAAATTTGAGAAGTACTTCATGGCATAATTTCTAGAATTCCTGACCAAGTAGACACAAACCGCTCTGCGGAATCAAAGGATGCTCCTTTGAGGAGTATATTTAATAGCACTTCAGAGAAGAAACATAAGAGATACACCAAGAATCATACCTCAAAGTTCTCTGATTATCTAAGACAAAAGTCCATTCTCCCTGAGTTCAAAGAGGGGAATACTGGCAGCAGGAAGAAACTAGGTAAATTTCTGTAATTTACAGCTATAGATTTAGCTGGCTCCAAACTTGAGAAGGCCAAGTTAAGACCAGAAGAGGCCCGCCAAAGGGACACTGATGAAAATCTGGACTTCAACCCTCAGCAGATAATCTTTAAGACCACAAATGACTCTCGAGAACAAGATGATAAAATTAAATATTATTACAAGAGAAATCTGAACATGTCGGTTGAGCTCCAGAAGGATTCTTCTAGAGAGAATCTCCATGAAGATTATCATATAAATCTTTACTCTATTCCTCATAAGCTCAAGGCCCAAAATTCAGACGAAAGGAGGAAGGGGAAGCTCTTTAAGTCCAAGTACTCCCAGGAGGTACAGAACATGAAGTTTGATAATGGTACTGTCTCTGGATAATCTTTAGAAATTCACGGTACAAAACTTAGCATCGGTAAGTCATTGCTTTACCCTCAGAGGAAAATAAGTATATTGCTGGCACCAAATTTATGAAGAACCAAGATATTAATTCATTCAGGTTCGCTCCTAAGAGGAATATAAATGTTGCTAGAGACTCACTTGAAAAGTTTGGCGCCAAGAAGCGTCAATTTATCAGCGTATAGTCCCTTGATGACTTACAGCCATTGGTGAATTCCTCAATTGGTCATCTAAATTTGAGTGCCGAGAAAGTCCGAAATCGGGAGGACAGAATCATGCCATTTTCTACTAAATCTATCAAGTCGAAATACATGTTGCCAAGGAAGGAAAGCAACCAGAGGATGTATAGCGTTAACTACTTTGGGTCAAGGATCCAGGATAAGGTTGAGAAATTCCAACGCGAGCATCTCCTTCATTTCGACCTCTCAGGTATGCCAGCTTTATTATAACTTGAATAGATAAAAATGATACCAAGGAAATCCAATGAACCTCTGAAATTTTAGGCAAGAATGCTGTAAGATTTGGCTAATTTTTTAGAATATTAAGACGAAGGAAAGAAGAAAAAACCATTACTCGCAAGTAATGATGGGCAGTGGCAAGCTGTTCTTTAATAAGTAGTTGTCTGAGAGAAGACAAGGGGTATGTTCAATATTGGTTTGGAATAGGGGTTTTGGGGTTTTGGGGTTTTGGGGTTTTGGGG